TGTGTTACTTTGAAAACATATCTAAGTCCTACCACTAGAACAGAGCTTTTCCCATAATATGGGACTTCCAATGCATGATAATCATTGGTTGCATGATTGGGGTTTATAACATAACGCACATGGAATGCCGAAGTTTGACTGAACTCTTCTATTGCAAGGTACAAAAAAGTACCTTGTAATTAAGTTTAAGAACTCTAAGGAGAAACTTTAAAGCTCCAATCAAACAGGACTCCTATGAGCTCATTTCCTCTGTGCTGAAGATTCACTATTCTCTTTAAGGCACAGATGTTGGAAAACATCATAATACAGCAAACATATTTAACTATATTATTGACTTTTTAAAAAAAAGGCTGGGATCCAACACTGGCAGATGAAGTAATCCTGAAAGGTGTATGAGAAACTTTAAGATTAATACTTTCACATCAGTAAGTAGCCGTTTCAAAGCGTGGTATATCGGCCATCATATACACAGTTATGTGTGCCATCTGCTTCCTCCCTTCCCTCTTCTAGTCAACACAGACCAGAGCTGACTGGCAAGTCACAAAGCCAACAAGATATGTGACAAAGCCCTATGCTGTAGCATGCCTACATAGCTCTATCATAACTGGACTGAAGTGTGGAAGCAGCCCACATAGTACACCCCATAGGTTGCCAGGCATTGCCTGAGACATCTTATACCAGGTCTGAAGATAAAGTACTGTCTGTAGAGCATACTCCACATTGCAGAGCATGTCTTGAACACCATTAAGGCAGTTTCTCAGACACTCAGCGTGCTGCATGACATTCAGTAGTAATGTCCTACTATTTTAAATAAGGGAACATACCTGAAATACAGTTGTGTAGCATATTGACATACCTGCAATATTTCCCAGTGCCCACACAGCCTGTTCACTGATGTGAGTATGAGGAGAGGCCAGCAGCGAGATAAAGGCTGGAATAGCCCCTCCATCTACTACTGCCTTTGTTTGTTCTGATGTGCCAGAAGCAATGTTGGTAAGCGCCCAGGCAGATTCAAACTGAATAGGAATACAGTCTGCTCTACCCAAGAAGGAGACCAACTTTGGAATCAAACCAGCCCGAATTATGCTGTCAATTGGCGGTTGCTGCTCTCTTGAGAGGAGTTTCCTAAGGAGGAAAGCAAAGCATTATTTTTGCTGCAAAGATCTGAATAACAGATTAAACAGTATAAAGATCTGTATTTTATAAAGGAAAAGGTTTAACATGGCCCTAACATTCAGGAAGGCAACACAGCATGATATGAAGAAATACAGACAAGCTGAGCGCTAGGTTCCTAAACCTGTGTTAACATTGGTTTTGGCATGTCCTCACTATACGAGAGGTTCTGCTCAGACTCTGAAATAAAGCAGACTTACAAGTCATAATACATCTGAATTGCTAGAGGTTTCACAGCAGAAAACTTAATGACTGCCAGAAGCAGCATATAAACCTGCTAAAGCAGGTTTTAGATTTGGAAAGAGAAAGAAAATTTTGCAGTCTTCAAACCTCTGTCATCATCCTGTTCACGTAATTCTAAGGTGTATCACTGCACTCAAATATCGTAGTCAGGTGTTAAGACAGTTTAAAGGTATCTTTGTTATAACAAAGGATTTCTTATTGTAACTCCTATAACTCCAAGATGGACTACTATTTATTTTGACACTTCAAAACCACTAGAAAGAATTTCTACTTCCTAGTAAAATATTCAGGCAGTTTTACCTCTCAAAAGAGCCATATGGTTTCAATAAGACTACAACTAAGGTAAGCATACCTATACATTGTATATAAGGCTGACTCAGGTATTTGTTGAATTACTGTCTGATAAGAGCAGCCATAGCTGCTACCATGTGCAGACACTACAGCTCATAAGCCAATTCTTTTATGTTGCTCAAAACTGGCTTGTGCAGCTGAATAGCTTACCTCTAAATTCCTTACCTGGCAGCTTGAGTAGCCTGTAGCTGAATCTCTGTATTATTATTATTAACTCCTTTGACTATTTCTTCAACTGACCAGTGTGCTGAAACCTGTACAATAAAAAGATACATGAATACTTTGTTGGGAGAGGCATGTGTCTTAAGCATACCTGTTCGACATACCCACTTACCTGATTGCTCCTATTTTCCTGAAGGGGAGAAGTAGCATCGTCTGGAAAAGTGCTAACATTTCTCCTTTTAAGCATCTGGTCATCTTTTTTAGCTTTCCTCAGCTCTACATTAACTTCAATACGCCGCCTTCTCATTTCCTGGAGGACATACATTCATAATAAGTTCTCAGCTTTTACAACTCATGCTTAAAGAGATAATGGCTAGCTGAAGTATTAATTGCATCAAAATACTCACTGTAGCATCCTTTCCTTTGTTCTTGAATCTGTTCAGTCGAGCTGATGGCGTATTGGCATTCTCATTAGTAGACATCTTGCTTATTAGATTTTTGAGAGAAACAAGTAAAACCAAGCCTTGAAACACAGCAAATAAACAGCAAGTTTACTTCATGAGAAGTCAATTTAAAAACCAGGATCAGTACTTGATAAGACACTTTTCCATGTTAGATACAATAGCAGCCTCTGACTTGAATCAAGATCAAGTAACATAGCAGCTGTTTCTTTAAACACCTAGATGTCACAATAAGCTCTAGCATTAACAAAAAAGCAGTAGACCTACATACATTGTTTGAAGACACAGCCACAAACACTAACAGAATCATTGTTAGAAGCAAGATTGCTGTTGCCTCCCGCAGACAGCACACGTACTTTTAAGTACTATTTTCACTGTGTCGTATATCTACAGTGTACGGGCACCCCATCCAGTCCCATCTCGAGCCTTTTTTATAGCAACTGCAAGATCTCGCACTAAGCAAGTTCCCGCCAGGAAGGGCTTGCAGCCAGCAGCATGTAGCACCAGCTACGCCGGTAACGACGTAGGTCCGTGCACCATGGGCCGGTTCCACGGTGACCCACTGCATAAAGACCTAGCTTCGCTTCAGTCACAACTTAGACGGCACACACAACCCGCTCTGAAAGGCACTACCAGGTGGCTGTCTGCGACCACGAAGACCTGAAAAAGTCCGTAGGGACCACCGGCCTGCCCTACCGGCAACAGAGCTCAGTCCCTTCCGACAGATCAGCGTACGGCCTGCACCCCCGTCGCCCCACCCGGCTTCTCGCTCCCGTCCCGTCCCGTCCCGTCCCGTCCCGTGGCACCTCCACCGCAGAGTCGGCACACAGTCCACTACCGCACAGCACCGCTCCCCGCCTGCGAGCACGCTGCACTGCCCACGACCTCGCCAGGCGGGATTTAAATTTCCCGCGCCCTCGCGCTACCATTGGCCAGTTCGAGCCATAGCAACCTCTCGATTGGCCAGTTTGAAATGAAGCTCATAACGCACGGCATGCTGGGAGTTGTAGTTACACAGGGCCCGGTGCTGAGGGAGTACCGGGGACCTACGGCCGGGAGTCCGGGGGGCACCGAGGACCGAGAACCGGGCGGGCGGGGGTGCTGCACCGCTGGATGGGTGCGAACAGGGAAGTTTTCACGCTCTTGAGGGGTTTATGGCGTTAGCGTGCCGTTTCCTCACATACAGCCCAATTTCTACCTCAGCAACCATCAGGTCACCTCAGGCTTTTCTTGAGCTCCCCCCGCCCTTGAACAAGAAAAAAGCCCTATACCCGCCTTGGGTCATGCCCAGAAAATCAGCAGATCTGGGATTGTTTCCCAATTCCAAGGGATGTAACACAAAAGAACACCCTGTCTCACAGATAAAATGCAAACCATAAAACCTGGGGGAAAACATGACTCTGTCAGGAACCGTCATTTCAACATCCGTCATGGACAATTCAGAGAAGTGTCAGAGATGCACATTGACACTGGTGTGTGGTAAAACACTACATTAAACCGTTTATGCTGATCTGCAGATGCACGCAGAGGCTGACAAAGATGTATGCAGAGGAGGAGGAATTGTCAATGTCTTTTTACATTGCTGTTTTGGGGCCTTACAGTTCTGAGTTTTGTAAAAATGAAATAAAGATCACAAAAATATTTAAGCAAGAGCAGGGAAGTCAAGAGAGGAGAAAGTACGTCAGAAGTGGAGATGTTGAAAAGGCCTAGTTTGAAAGGAAAAAGGCAGCTCAAAAGTAGAAACTGAGGTAAAACACCTGCTGTACAGAAGGATCGAAGGGCCGCTGTGAAGGAAGTCCATAAATGTCTGGAAAATCTGCGGTCCGGAGCAGCGAACCTGGGCGAAGCAGGACTCTGGGATGGGTGTTCCTGGGCAGGAAGAGAGCTGTCTCCGACCTGGAAACTCGAGGTGTCTGTGAGCCGATGTGGGGTGCACATGGTTTGGGATGGGAGGTGCCACAGCTTGAAAGGCTGTTATCAATGCAGGAAAGCGATAACAAGGCGGAGGAAATGGGTGCGAACAGCCCCACCGAGACTAAGCTGCTGCTGAGGCGAGGCGGACCCCACGCCGCTCTCCTCAGGCGAGCACGCGCGCAGGACACCGCCCTCGCGCCGCGCTGAGGCAGCCAACGGCCGCCGCGCGTGACGGGACCCGCGAGAGCGAGCGCGTGAGGCGGGGCGGGGCGGGGCTGACAGCATGAGCCGGCTGGCGCCGCTCTAACAGGCTCGTGGCGGAAGGGTAGCTCCCTGACCAATGGGCTGCAAGGAGGCGTGGCGAAAGGATCGCCCTGTCCAATGGGCTGTAAGACGGGAGGGTCTGGGGCGGGGCTTTGGTGAAAGAGTGGGTGGGCGGGGCCTCTCTGTCACGAGCAGGTGGAACATGGAAGCCCAGCGAGGGGCGGAGCCAGCGCCGGCCGGGCGGGGCTCTTACCATGCAGCGCTGGGAGCTTTTGCTGGGTGACCCAGTGGCCTAATGGATAAGGCATCAGCCTCCGGAGCTGGGGATTGTGGGTTCGAGTCCCATCTGGGTCGTGCCGTAGATGTTTTGCGGTGCTGCGGTAGATTCAGCGCAGAGGACGTGCGGGCGCGCTATGAGCGGCTCCCCTAACACTTTTACCCGAGGCCGGTGGGGAAGCCTCGGAGCGGAGCCAGGATCCCTGGCGCTGCCTCAGATTCCCTCAGCCGCGCCCTCCTGCGGCCGCCGCAACCGCCGCCCTGTCAGCGGGGCGCCTGCCCTGCCCGCCGGCACCGCTGCCGTTCCCCGGCGCCACCGAGCCTGGTGGTGCCGCCGCCGCCTTCCTCCTTCCCGCGGGGGTACTGCGGCCGTGGAGCGCGTACGCCCGGCTGCGGCGGGAGGATGAGGCGTCAGGCGATCGGAGCAGAGGTGAGGATGAGTGTCCGCGGCGGGCGGGCCTGAGGGCGGGCTGGGCCCTGTCCCGCCGCGGGCCCTCCACAGCCGTTGTGGTAAAAGCGCGGGGGAACCGGAGCCTGGAGAGCTCCGGCTGCCAGCAGAGCTGCCCACAGCCTCCTGGACACGGCCATTGTGCCGCCGGTCCCGGTTTTCCTCACGCAAGGAATCCTGTCTGCAAAACTTCCGCCTCTCCCCTGCTGCCGGCGGACCTGTAGCTTCTGGAGAAGGAGAAATACCCCAAACACCACTGCTGTCACTTTGAACAGGATCCTGTCCAAGTGCGGCCTGGAGAAACTCATTAACAGGCACAGCCATACATGAATATATTCGATTACACTACCAGCTAAGTTAAACAGAATACTCCCTGGAGCACAGGCTGTCAGGACGTTGAGGTGTCCGTCCGTCTATCCATCCTCAGCACAGCCCTCAGCAGCGAGCCTGCCACACTCCTGACAGCTCTCCCTTGCTGCAGGTACACAGGTACGCAGACTGGTTGTGCGGGAGATGAGGAACAGCAGGAACATACGAGCTCACCTCTCCCTCATCCTTACTTTAAATTCCTATTTCCATTATAGCTGTCTTGGGATACTTCTGGAATGAACATGTTCAAAATAACAGGAAATAAGGACCAATAAATGCTGCAATAGAATCATAACACACCGAGTAACAGATGTGTTAAAATTTCACTTATTTTGCACACCATTCTGGCTAATTTTCTCTATTCCCCCCCCCCCCCCCCATAGCTTGAGGAAAAGCCCTGAACTTTTAAGAATTCTATTAAACTGCTTAATTAAAGCAGCACAAAACAAACAGTGTTTAAGCAGTAGCAGGGCCACATGATGCAGGCATTAGTGAGGGGTAAGTTTTCTGTTGGTGGCTTTCAGAGCTGGGATATAGTGCTTTTACGTGGGTTTTAAATTGTTCACTGCACCTTAAAGGCATGAATGACTTCACAACTTTCATGACATCCAGTAGCAGCTAGTGAGATAAACTGTCAGAATAGACACCTTTTCCAGCAATAAGGTCACCCATTTCAACTGGGAGCACAGAAATAAGCCTACTTAGTTCAGTAATCCAAATCAGGGGTGGCTTGGAGTGTGAAAATTTGCCAAATTCTTTATGTTAGCAAATACGGATTTAAAAATAAAGCTGTACCTGGGGTCAGCAGAGCTTTCCCTTGGACTGGACAGTAACTAATACATTTTCCAGGCTGAAGGGAATCACTGAAACTGGGTCCTTAAACTAAAAGACATTACCAGCTGCATAATTGGAGGTGGCCAGAAATTCCTGAATCGGTTCCATTGTAATGAACACCTTTTGCATACACTGAAGCGCAGAGGCGATGCACATTCCAGCATCTCTTAATTCCACTTCATAATGTAGTTCTCCATATCCAATAAAACTGTATTTGTTTTGTATGATTCCCTTTACAAAATGCGAAAGAAAGCAGATAAAAATCTGCTGCTAAAAACATCCATCCATATGTTATTCCTGGAGATACAGGTGACTGCAGGCAGTATGGAGCGGTGTGTCTATGAGAAAGGGGATGTCCTAGGCAGGGGCAGTGGGAGGCTAGCGGGGAGGCAGCAGCTTGGTTTTGCTCCAGTGGGTTGTCCAGTGAGTGATTCCTGTTTCCCCTAAGGCTGCCTCTCATTAGCATGAATCGGGGGAAGGGCATAAAAGACTCCAGTTCATTTGGAGTCTGGAAAATCTTTACTTCAAAATGACAACCAAAGTGTTGTGGCTCCTCTGCTTTGCCATCAGATCATCTTCCAGCTCCGTGGCCGGTAAGTCTGTTAACATTCGAAGCAGGGCTGGGGCATATTTGCCTTTGGGATCAGGGAAGGCTGAACACATTACTACATTTCTTGCCCGAGCAGCCGTCTATAGCTGTGGTCTTTTCAGCAAGTGGTAGAAGTAATCAGGTAAGGGCTCAAGAGAGAAACACTTCAACATGTTTGTGGGGTGGGAATGTAAATTGCAATGTTTGATTTGTGTTTGAAAGAATTAAGAGCACCTGCCAAAAGCAGGCAGGCAGCCAGTTCCATGAAGCCTGCTAGCCATCAGTCAGCAGCTGGAGTTTGACTTGCTTCTGCTTCTGGGATTTTTATGTGTATTTGACTTTTCCCTTTTAAGCCTCCCTCTCCTCACCTGTAAACTCCAGGTTTCTAATTTATTTCTACATGCTCTGTGCTTATGTATGTCTGCAGCAAGCTGTCCTAAAGAGATTATTTAAGTACCTGTCCTAAAGAGATTATTTAAGTACCACATTGGCAGAATAGAAATATCCATCTATTCCAGTGGGAAAGAGCTGATTATGTTGCAGTTGTATTGCTTAGGTTGCAAGAACTAGACAGGAGTATGCTGGTGTAGGAGAATGATCCTCAACGTTCTGAGTAGATTGAGTAGAGAAAAATGAACTATTTCTTGTTACACTCTATGGCAGGAGGGTTGGAACTCAATGATCTTAAGGTCCTTTCCAACCCTAACTATTCTATGATCATACGAGAAGGCATGATAAACTGGTAGAGAAGTATACTGATAACACTAAATCCAAAACACCTGTTCAGAGATCACAGCTTCATATTGAACCATCTCCAAAACACCCTTGCCTATTGCTTTCTTTAGCTTGGACTTCTTCCACCCTGTTCTTCATGAGCATTCTTTTGACTTTATGTGTGGCCAGCCCAGATATCAGAGAATCTTTCCCATGACAGCAGCTGGTGAGAGCAAAGGGGGAGAAGTGGCAAGGTCAGCAGTTGAGTCAGTTATAGAAGATAAACCAGGACGTTGTTCATCTGTGTATGTCAAATATCTCTTTTCACATAAGGAGTTAGGATCAGCCTCCCACATGATGTTAACCACAGACAGTGAACACCCAGACAGCGGCTGTGTGTGGGTGAATGGTTTTAAAACTCTCTGGCTAACTAAAGGCATGCAGTGGAGGACTGAAGTAAAAGGAAAATGTACTGCAAGAGGGAATTTCTCTCTTCCCAGGCTAGGTGGAAGGTCATTTTCCTTTGTGAGATCCAAGTGATCAAGGTGAAGGTATAGATGAAGGCCTAGGTGACTGCCCAGCTTGTGTGAACAGTGTCATTAAGCCTTTCCATCTTTCACTAGATTCACAGACACTTCCTCTCTTTCTCAACCTTTGTCCTCTCAACTTAAGAAAAGCCTTGCAATAATGGTTACTCAGCAGCAATAGCCTAGCTACCAGTACTGCTACTGCACAGCTCCGTAGTGGAAAAGTCAGAGATACAAAACTGTGGATAAAGATCTTTTCAATAGTGTTCAAAGCTGCTGAAGAGACCAGATGACATTGTCAATAAGGCATCCCATGGATGGGAAAACCAAATAGTTCTGTTGTCATGGTCTTTTAAACAAGCATCCCAAATGGCAATGTGAACCTTGTTTCCTCAGATGCTCCCTGGAGATTCAGGCTTTTGAGAAAAGGGTTTGTTTTTAATTTGCAACAATAATAAAGTAAAAATGCAAATCTGTGTTTTGCTCATGCAGCTGCATTCTCTGTGCTGGGCCTTCCATTTCTGAGCACAGAACAACAAGGAGCTCTACTATATTTTATCTGTTGAACTATTTATCAGTTATATTGCCTTATTGTTGAAGGTCTCACTTACTGACTAGAGCCTCCAATCTGCCAGGCACTTCCCATTCAGAAGCACATGGAACAGAAAATTTGAAGTGCTAATTCTCTGTCTCCATTTTTTCATGTGTAGGATCCCTGCCCTACGCTGAGAAACAACATCAGACTCTCAGCAAAGATGCTTATAGCTCAGCAGGCACTGCACCAGGCCACGTCAAACTGCCAGCCTGGGGCAGCAGCAGCAGCACCAGAGAGAACCACACAGAACACTGGCTCCTGCCTCCCGCTGATCTGCAGCAGCCAAAACCTCCTGAAATCACCTTCCTCTCCTCAAAGAAACGCACCAAACCTGCTCTAGAGAACAGCACGGGGCTGAGGAAACACCTCCTGCAGTATGGAGGGGCCCTGCCCCTGGAGAGCACGACTGAGGGGCCTGCTCCTGCCTCCTTTGACTCCAACCACGCCAACAGAAAGCACACGGACAGGCGGCTGGCTGAGGCTGCCAACAGTGTCTCGGCTCACTTCCACCACGCAGCGTCTTCCTATCACAAGATGACATCCTTAGTGGAGGCTCATCTCCTTCCAGACTCTGGAGCACTGGAAGCAGGTGATCCTAATGCACTGGATCACTTCAACCGACCAGGCAAGATTGTCCCCTACAAACATACCGATCCCTTCCAAAAGATCACCAAACCCTCCTGGGTCACCAACCGCCAGTCATCCAGCTTGCTGTACCACCTCAGTTTGCTAAAGAAAGGTAAGAGGATAGAGTGCTTTGGCAAGGGATATTGTGAACTTTATGAAGGTTGGGGGGCATAACTTGGATGAAATACCCTGTCCCTCAGCCTGTGTGCCTATTCTAGATGGTGATAAGGAGAAGGCATGTCTGACTGAGTGCAGGAAAGAGAGAGATGAAGTGGAGGCCTACTGCACGAGTGAATTTGGTAAGTTGTGTCCACCATGAACCACACAGAACAAAACACAGGCCACCTTTGTTCATCTATTGCTGACATTTCACTTCTGCTTTTAAGACACTGTTTGACTGACTGTTAAATAATGACCAAGTACACTAAAAGGACCCATCACAGCTCTCTGCAGATGTACTAAGACAAATGCAGTTTTACATTGCCCTTTCCCCACCTTAGACTAGTATTGCTCTTTTTAGTGTTTCCTCCCTTTCCATTCCCAGGAGGAAGACGGTGCTCTTGCTGCTGGTCAACAGAACTAAAAAGATCAATTGCTTTACATACTCTAAGATTAAGCATTGTAGCCATGTTACTTACCTCTTACTATTGAGAATGTGTTTGTGATTTGGGGGAGGCTGAAGTTTCAAATGACAATAAAACGGTAAACCAAACAAAAATAAAACTGTGATCCTCTCTGTATAAAGGATCTGCCTTAAAGTTCCTTAGGATTCCATGTCTTTAGTCCTTGTGTCCAAGTTGATGTAGCTGAAGATGGTAGAAAATAGCCTGGCATTGCTGTACTGTATAAGAAACAGTGTTTTCTGACTGAAATCTTGCCTTGTGCTTCCGAAGTTGTGAAAGAGATACCAACTTTTTTCTCACAGCATTTTAAGAGATAAGCAAAATACATGCCTAGGGGTAACAGATGTTTCCATTTGTAGAATATAAACACGTTATGGGACATCTGTTTTCCCTAAATGGAGAAGTCAGGAAGTGCTTTCTACAACTGCTACATTCTGTATTTTTACCACTCTCATGCATTCCTGTCAAACGTAGGTCTGACAGTGACCTGGCCTGTGTGCATTTAGCCTTTAACACACGGCTGTCTCGTGTCTCTTAAACTGAGAAGGACAGGTAGGAAAAATACAGGTCAGCCACGATGTCCCTGGAGTGACTGGAAGGAGCTTTTCATTTCCTTACATTTACAGCGCAGATTAAAGAGTAAATATGGCTGAAGTTCCTGCTCAGAGAGGCAGGTGTAACACCAGAAGCCCTGTGTGCCTTACCTGCCTAACACGTTTATTGTTTTCTGACTCCTGTACTCAGCTCAGCACTTGTCAAAACCAGAAACTGGGCGGAGAGCGTGATGTGATTGAAGGTAGAACATGGCCTCTTGGTGTGCTGGCCTCCTGGTATGACAAGGGCCTGTTCTTTCAAAAGCTAAAGTGTTTCATTAGCAGGTTGTTGAGTTTTAAATTTGAATATTTTGCTTTGTTAGGTAAATACATCCAATTTTTGTTTGGAAAACAGCACTAAAACATCACTTCCTTTGAAACATCTTATAAACGCCACTAAGAAACATCTCAGACCTGTAAAGCACAAGGTTAGTAACTCACCAAGAACTAAGGTGATGATCTCACCAAATGTGCTGATTTGAAGCAACTCCTATTTTCAAGACTGCCCACTACTGAGCCAGAGAATTCCTGACACTTCACAGTGTTTTAAATGACAGCCTTCACATGTGCCCTGAGTTACCACCAGGATACATAACCTGATGCTTCCTTTTTTTTTCCACTTCCTCAAACCAGCAGTGAACGGGATTGTTTATAACATGGAAAAACTGGGGAACGGCATCCACCTGATCACACTTTTGGTAAACAACGATGGACTGTACAAGATGAGTCGCCTCTATACTACTCCTGATGCCTTCTTCTTTCGAGTTCACATTCTAGTTGTGGATACTTTCAACTGCAGTAAACCGTGCCTGGACTTGAAAATTGGTAAATAATTTCAGCTAAATCCATTGCACTATTCCTCCTGCATGCAGGGCAGTTTGAGCCTGCTCTAGTTTAATAGGCTTAACCTGGCTTGTTCTGAAAATTTGGGAGGAAAAAGTATTTACTCTTAAACTGGAGGTCATTTTCCCTTCTAAACTTTCAGAAGAGAAGCAGCTGTCTGAAGAAGTCAGGTTAACAGCAGAGTCCTTTCTTAGCTTTATCCAGTTGCAAAATGATTGCAAGAGATTTCAGGATTGACATTAAGTAGCCCAGTTTTCCTCCTAAATGCAAATTTACCAAATACCAGTATTTTCCCAAAAATAGCTTCTAGTTGCAGTACAAGACATCATTTCCATGCAAGCACAAACCCACAAGCCATGCTGATGTTCAGGGTGCCGCTGTCCTAAGCCACACATCCAGGGTACAACTTCACATCTGTTCCTAAACCTGCTGCCCTTAGCACCAGTCCAGTGAATGAATCCATGCTTTCTCCAGGGCACAGAAGTCTCTTGTTTTGCAGGCAGCAGGTACATTGTGATGGGTCAGATCTACCACAAGAGACGACAGATCTCTGCAGACCTGCTGCCTTTCCTGCGAGGGCGCCTGAGCCCGGGGGATGGTTTGCTTCGGAGCGGCAGCAGCTACGTCAAGAGATTCAACAGGAAGAGGAACCGCAAGGTGCTGGCGGCTCACACCAAGTGCAGATAAGGCTTCAGGAACATCCCTCTGACAGGCAGCAGCAGAATTCACCAACCAGAATACACCAGGCCGTGGTTTAGCAACAGCAGAAGGTAGTTATGTACGAAGCTGGTTGTGCTGGGACACTTGCTCTTGTGCTTTAGCAGACACTAATGGAATATCTTGACTAGGTACCCACATATTGTGAAGTTTAGCACAAAACTCCATTTAGGGAACATTCATTTGCTCCATCTGTTTTCAGAGCCACAGGTTGTTACTGCCTCCCCCACTCTAATGTACCCCTAAATAATCTGTAGTAACTGTAAAGTAAAATTCTGGAGGTATACCAGAAGTAACTGCACTTTGAAACCCTTAACCTTGAAGAAATGTTAGATGATACCACACCTTTAGCTGTAGAGGATGTCCATAGTGTTTTCACACAACTCTGCCTAAAGTATTACAAGCATTTGAGCCAGAAGAAACCAACAAAACCAAGTACCACTTGTACTGTTTTGGTATCCCTAAAGATGTCCATGCTACTTGTAAACCCCACACTAGTTCTTCAAACAGAGCTGGATTTTCACATGAAGCATACAAAATAGCTATGTAACTGTATGAATACACTAACTGAAAGCAAATCAAGTAACTGCCCAACACAAATGCCCAATTAGGCTTACAATTAACAGCGCTAGTTCACGCCAAGGAAAGCAAAATGAGCCCAACTGCACGCCTGGTTACGCTGTCAGTTCCTTAAAATCTCAGCCCTAGAGCCATGAACTGAATGTCCTTTTCCCATGAGAAGTATTGCTGAGTTTGTACTTTCATGTCAGTAAAGTTATGTTTTGAATCAAAGATACAATCTTTTAGGGCCTTTAACATGGAGGGATGTTAGAACCTGTGACACCGCTGTAAAGGGGATCGTGACGTTTGCTGTCCCAAGAGTCAGTATTCACAAATAGTGAAGTCTTTAAAAAGAAACTAATAAGATGTTCTTGGGGTTCTGGAAGATCCAAAAAGTTTATGTAATGATATTAAACAAAGGCATCTCCTCACTTTGCGAGTTGGCTGGAGATTCTGAGATATGTATTTATATATAAAAATGGGAAAACGCAGCCTAGCTAAAACAAACCCTAACCATATAGTGCTATATATGATGTGACCTGGAAGAGGAAGCATTTTCTTCTACAAGCATTTTGTTTCGAAGCAAAGTTAGCTCTAACAATTCTACCTGCTAATACACATCTGCATCTTGATTTAACATCGCTGCAAAGCTATGGAGCACTGCATGTGCGACAAGTCACACTGTGTGTTTCTATACTAGCCACATACCAAGAGCAAGCACTATAGATTTTGGGACCCAAAAAGCTGTTACTATAGGACAGAAATTTACTTGTAGCTTGTGTCTATCAAAAAAATACACTCTCACTTTTGTTACATGAAAGATTTTGCATGGTGTGCAGCGTACGTGGATGGAATTTTCCTGAGAGACTTTGAGGGGGCTCTGTTTGGCAGAACAACTGTCCCTGGCAGTGAATCAAAGCGCTGGAGTGAACTGGGAGGGTGTCGTGGTTTAAACCCAGTCAGGTAACTCGTTCACTCACTTCCCCCCCTTCTTGCCCTCCCCCTGCTCTCGGAGGGACGGAGAGGAGAATCAAAAAGAATGCAACTCCCACGGGTTGAGATAAGAACAGTTTAGTAACTAAGGTATAACACAAATCACTACTGCTACCACCAATGATAATAATGATAAAGGAAATAACAAGGGAAGAGAATACATCATCTCACCACCAGCCAACCGATAACTCGCCCCCCCAGCCTGACCAAGCTCTGACCGATACCTCCTCCAACCCTGCAGTCTCCCAGCCCTTCCGGCTAACTCCCAGTTACATCCTGGGCATGACGTGCTGTGGTATGGAATACCTCTTTGGTCAGTTTGGGTCAGGTGTCCTGTCTCTGCTTCCTCCTGGCTTCCCCTCCTCCCTGGCAGAGCATGAGGCTCACAAAGTCCTTGGCCAAACCTAAACATCACTATCAGCTCTGTTCCCAAGCTGAAAGTCAAAACACTGCACTGCACCAGCTACCAAGAAGGAGAAAAATGAGTGCTACTGCTGCACCCAGGACATTATCCACCCCTTATTCCATACCATTCACGTCATGCTCAGATCCCACATTTTCAATATACCATCACTCTTATCTCAGTGCACTCTTATCTTAGTGCATGGACCAGTCCCTATAAAGCTGCTGAGTCCATCTGGTCCATGATGTCAGGCTCCATCTCTTGTAACAGTCTTCCAGAGCAGGAGAGACTGTGTGCAGTGTTCACACTCGTGAATAACCTGGGCAATAGTGTCCATTGCTAAGTCCACCCCTCGATCATGAGTCAATCTCTGTGTTGCATCTCTGCTCTGATGGCTTGAAGTGCCATGGGCCCACCAGGCTTAAAATAATTCACTGTCCCCTTAAGCAGTTTGTGCAGCTTGTTGCTGGGGACTCCATACAGATGCCTTCCATCTCCGATGCTTCCAAAGCACTGGAGGGGCCCAGTGAACTAGATACTTGCCCATACTGTCCCACACACCCTGCCACTCATCACTGTCCAGCCTTGTAGAAAACCTTTTGGTCCCCCTATATCGTCGTCTAACCCCAGACAAGACCCAAACCTGACTCTGCTTAACTTCTGAGATCAGACAAAATGGTGGTGGGTAGCACACAGTCTGTGTGTGTGCCAACATGCTGATCCCCATCACAATCAGCAGGCAGGTACCAAGGACACCCAAAGGCCATTCAAAACCTTCAGAACTCTCAACTGATGCTGCTGTACTTGTCACTGGGGCTGGTGTAGCTGCTGTGCTTGCCGGCTCTCCCACCACCGGCTTCTCTTTTCCTGAGTCCAGCTCTTCCTCCTCTGCCTTGCTGGGAAATGCTGCGGGGTCTCCTGCATCCTCCTGGGGCTCGGCAGGCGGCTTCCGGGAAACGCTCTCGGCCGTCGCGGGGCTGGGCTCGGCCGCGGGGCTCGGCTCCTCCGCCGCCTTCTCCCGCTGCTCGGCAGCCGCCTCCTTCCTCTCCTCGACGGCCCCGACCTCCTCCACCGGCAGCCATCCCCTCGCGGCCTCCGGCCCCGCTCCCGCCGCCGCTGGGTCCCCAGGGCCGCTCTCCCGGGCCGGTTCGGCTGCCGCCGGCTCCCGGGGCCGCTCCCCCTCGGCTCCCCGCAGCCTCACGAAGATGGAGAGTAGGGTGAGGGCCAGGCCGGTGAAGAGCAGCCGGAGGGCCAGGTACAAGTCCACGGCCACGTCCGTCCCCCCCTGCTGCTGGAGCCCGCCCGTGTTACAAGCCATTGCCATAAAGCACAGTGAGACAAGAACCTTAGCCCAAGCCCCATACTTGATAAACACTATCACAGCAAATACCGGCTCTACGTAAGTTACAACATTCTGAAGCTGTGAGATCAAGCAAAACAACTCTGAGACCCAATAAATCAGCATTGTGACGAGTGACTATTAATCCAGTCAAATCTGTCGTTATCTCAACCCTTCGCGCCCCACGTTGGGCGCCAAAAAGAACTGTCGTGGTTTAAACCCAGTCAGGTAACTCGTTCACTCACTTCCCCCCCTTCTTGCCCTCCCCCTGCTCTCGGAGGGACGGAGAGGAGAATCAAAAAGAATGCAACTCCCACGGGTTGAGATAAGAACAGTTTAGTAACTAAGGTATAACACAAATCACTACTGCTACCACCAATGATAATAATGATAAAGGAAATAACAAGGGAAGAGAATACATCATCTCACCACCAGCCAACCGATAACTCGCCCCCCCAGCCTGACCAAGCTCTGACCGATACCTCCTCCAACCCTGCAGTCTCCCAGCCCTTCCGGCTAACTCCCAGTTACATCCTGGGCATGACGTGCTGTGGTATGGAATACCTCTTTGGTCAGTTTGGGTCAGGTGTCCTGTCTCTGCTTCCTCCTGGCTTCCCCTCCTCCCTGGCAGAGCATGAGGCTCACAAAGTCCTTGGCCAAACCTAAACATCACTATCAGCTCTGTTCCCAAGCTGAAAGTCAAAACACTGCACTGCACCAGCTACCAAGAAGGAGAAAAATGAGTGCTACTGCTGCACCCAGGACAGAGGGACAGGAGAAGGAAGGAGGAAGGGTTACGTGCGCATCTCAAGTTTCTCTGTTTCTGTTTTCCACTGAAGTCCAGGGACTAACCAGTGAGTCCTACACACATCCCTTTGCCCTGAAGAGCCATTAAGCACCACTCCCCACCCCTGAGACATTGTTGTAATCTAAAACAGGCAAAGCGTGGGTACAAGAATAACATCCATGGCTGTATCTCATTTTGATTGTCTCTTGGAAGAGATAAATAGGAGATCAGGGATAATGACATCCAAAGCCTCAGTAAAATGCCAGTAACTGACACACAATGTCTGCAACACTATCCAATAAGCAAAAAACCAAACTGGGATAGTTCATATTATCACAGTCTGTGTTATATATGTGACCATTTTGAAACGACTGTTGCAGTAATTCATAACAATACAAAGAGGAGCATTACAGAACAGAGATGACAAAACTTTGGAACTTACCATGCTTTTAGGGAAGTGGCTATTAATGACAAACGATGTATCTTCAGTGACACCATCACCAAAGATCATCATTAATAAATCAAGAAATGTACCTCCACACACTGGCAGTTGAAAACACTAAAACCAGGCTCTTGGCACAATTACATTGTATGCATTGATTATTTCCCTAATCAACCTGATTCACTGGAAGCTATACATCATCCGGCAAAGGCAAGACCTATATACGGTATCATTATCAAATGTTTCATTAGAAACGCCACCAAATCCATGTCAAACACATCACTTTATTTGTCTAGGATGACGTGTCCTATAAGGTACAAAAAAGTAGCCTTCAGTTTGCCACAATTTGTTAAAAACAGCCATTTAATGCCTACAGGTAGGAAAGTTTCAAATCATGTCATAGAGATTTATAGGTGAATAAATAGTACAGAAATACTGTGACGTTCTGATGAGATGCAGGGTTAATGTTCAAATGCTGTTCAAAGTGGAGAATTCCCCGTGTTGCATTAAACCCACAATGCGTACAA